AGAAAAGAAACTCGATACCTAGCACTTGAATTGTGAGAAAGGGATACTTGTATAAGTTGTATAGCTTGCGGTCTGAGGATATTTTCCTGCAGGGCATATTGGAGCATTATATGGCCGGAAGCAATAAAATTATAGCTCTAAATCTCACCTCTTTTTGTTTATTGAAGAAGAGGTCTGGGATTACATTTCCTATTCATCCTTGTTCTTTTTGAGATCGTGGGATCGTTTCTCAGGGTTAATTATGGTTTGACGCTGCACAGCATTTGGTTTGCAATGGTGAATCAAACCGGATACTCCCTAACAATCTACCAAGACGTTCAAAATACATGTGACAACCATTCAGCTTTAAAAGAAATCATTTGCGGTACACGTTCAAGACGAAACCAGTGATTTTTTTTTCGGTAAAAACTTTGCTTTGAACCTCAAACAAACCACTAAAAGCTCCCGTCAACAAGATATATCTTCTGCTTTTCTGTCTCCCTTGAGACTATTGCGAGTATAGCTTACCCCCTCTCCCGTGTAGGCCAAGGTATCTCCAAACGCTTCGAAGGCAACATTCGAGAAAACAAATCGTAGCCGAAGAGAAACGACTTCGGGTGCACCAGAGGTAAACTTCTTGGGGACGCACACTTCATATCGGATTCGTGACACGAGCCTCAAGCACTATCGACATCGACTTTGTTTTTCTATCGCGGTGTCTGGCTTGACCAATTTCTACTAGTGACAAACTGTATAACTCGGCTAGTCTCCCCGTATCGTGTTGCAATCACTTCCAATGAAAACACTTTCAGGGAGATTATTTTGGTCCGCGTTGTGTAAGATTTCACTATCTTTGTTCCTCGTTACTTATTTTTACACAACCAATCAAATCCCTCTTCGATTCCATACACCTCTGTTGAGGTATAGTTGAAAGCATGTCATTGTACTTTACAAGAAAGGCCTTTCAAACCCGCGATTGTATCTCAGAGATTCAGTCCTCGGGTTATATTAAGTGTCCCTTTGCCTTTGATTAACGTCTCAGTGGCTTCCACTTCGTTCAGCTAAAACATCATTTTGATTAACGGGAAGTGAGCCGCACAGTAAATGCTGCTATGTTTTCGTTTTCATTAAATCTAACTAGATTTGCCATATTTTTGTCATAAATACCACATAATGAAAATTGGCTGAACTCGTGCAAGAAGGCCTTTAATTGTGGGGATAGTTTTGTAAATGTCATATCACTAACTGTTGCAAACAGCTCATATGACCACTTCCCATTTAATCTTGAAAAAATATGCATTTTCTTACATAACAAATTCAGGAAAAGACAGATGACCTTACCAACAAAAGGAACGACCTTGTACAAAACGCTGCAAATAAAATATCACATAATTCATTTTCCTAAAAAAGAATAGAAAATCTTCTAAAAACAACTGACTGAATTAGGAACTACATTTACTACAATTTTCTAAATTAATCAACCGTCGGAAAATCAACTATCATATAATATATTCAGGAATTTAACTAATTTTCTGGAAAAAAATTCTCTTATCTATAAACAAGAGCGAATCTGTGTCGCAACCCAAGCTCCGTCTCTTAACCTGCGACATTTTCAACGATTTTATTAAATGATCGTTAGCACTGACAGTTCTGTCATACAAAACGGTCGCAATTTACGATATTTTTTTTTGCAGTCATCAACTGGAGTTAAACTTGTCACATAGGCCACCGTATATAAATACCTTAATTTTATTAATCAGTACTGGAGAAGGTGAGGCAGTACCTTGGGGAAATAATGTTCAAATCTTGTCTATTATTTTCGTCTACGCGTGACATTTTCTTAAAAATATGAAAATGAAATTAGCTCTCGACGGAGACAAAGACCATTGGATATAATTTGATTTGCCACTTTTTCACCGAGTCGGCTAAATCTGTGGGTATATTTTTTTATTTGTCAATTGCCAAAGCATAAACTGCTCGAAGCAGTCTTTGGATTTTCATGTGAAACTGTCATTTTTTCATGCGTGATTTTTTTTAGATAAAATTGTCGAACACTGAAAAAAGTACCGTAATGTGATTCCATTGAAGGTTTAAATCACAAAAAAAATCTTTTTTTTTTCTAATCAAGAAAAAAACTCAGTTTTTTCTATTCATGATAAACTACAGTGGAAAGTTGGAAAATTGCTTTATTTTGCTTTAACAGCGAAAACGAAAGCATAACTATAAAGGTCGTATTTTTTAAACGCGGTTTCGTATGAAAGTTGGTGTTTAGAGAAATTTGCAAAGGCTTCTGTAAAAAAAAAAAAAAATCACTAAATTTCAAAAGAAAATATGGAAATTGACATGTATTGCTAATTAAACGGCTCCAAGGGAATTCTTCATTCGTGCATATCGCAATCGCTGCGAAAAGAACAACTCAAATTTTTCTCATTAATATAAAAAATACTTCGCGCACCATTCACTCTTTACTTCATTGATCGCCAAACACAAAAGAAAAGAGCGCGCGCGCGCGAAGGCCTGTGCATTATAAAATGCCTCGTTAGCACAGCGCTGTATAATGGCCTTGCATTTTGTTTAATTGCAACCGGAGAAAACAAATAGAGTCTCTGTCCGTTATGGCTCCCTCCCTTCTATCGGTACATATAAATTCCAAGTATCTCAACTCATTTCTTTGGTAAGAATACATCGCACTGCAAAGCATAACTACAAAATCACACATCGAGAACAGATCATTACAATTCCACCTGAATTGAACCATCTTTTCTTTTTCTTTTTTGCATCTTTTCCTTTTTTTTCCAGATGGATAAGGAAACCTAGATAAATTTACACCAAAAACGAAGATGATGTCTTTTCATATATTAATCCTCAAAGGAGCTTTGGAAAAATAATTACTGCATGTGGTGACACTGTGTTTACCTTTGAGACAATAATAGTTTAACTTTGTCGATAACCTCTGACAATAATTTCTATTAACCTAATGATACAGCTCCACAATGCACATCAATAATATTGTTTTATTTTCTGGTATAGCTCGTTGATGAGACACAATATGAACCCAAAACGTTTTGCTCGGGGCATGACATTTACGATATTTTCTGTAATCCTATCGCAATCATGTACAACAATGCTTGTAGGCATTTCATTAATTTTAGAATCATCATCTCATCCGTGTACCCATAAGACATTGTGTATATAGCTTGATAGAAAAAAATAATTATTTGACACCAAGTTACCTGTTTCTATGAATAAATTGACGCCGTGAAAAAAAAAAGAAAAACAACGTGGCGGTGGTGTGTGGCCCTAAGGCTCACGGGGGTCTAGAAAAATATCATCGGTGCAAATTATTTTTTTGGATTGATTTAAGAACGACAATCAGTCCCCTGAGGTACTTCGAAGAAGTGAACGATTATCAAGCGACCCTCGACAAGCACGGATCCAATTATGAAAAGCTACAGGTTCCCTATATGCGATTATTACTTCTGATGGCACAATATGCATATTGCTATGCCCACCTTTGGCCGCAGTATTCAATTTCCTGGACAATATCGCGCTGAATCGCCTCGATGATATGATCCCACTTCGCGCCAGGATGCGAGTAATTCTACAGCCTCTTCTGATGGGTAAATTGTAACTGAATCTAAAAGCCCATTTTGTGCGATGTTCGGTGCGATTTTATGACAATTTAGCACCCCGGTGTGTGATGGAAAACCGACGGTGGCTATCAAAAGTCGCTTTGTGCGGGTTTCGCTTGTATACGGTTTCCAAAACGTGGGTGGAGTCAGACATTATTGCGGTCACCGACCACAATTACTGACTTCATATTTCAATTCTATACCAGTCTCTGCTTAAATTGTGTGGCTGCAGCATCTTCAATGAAATTACATCTCGGGCGAATTGGTGCAGAAAATGTGTGTTAAAGAGAGAGAGAGAGAGAAAGAGGGACGCCTTTTTTCCCCGGCCCTTTAAAAGGCGGTATATCACGAGGGCCGTTGAGGACCAAATAAAAAAAAACCGTGAAAATGGCACAGAATTTGCAACTCGCCAAAGGCAATGAAATGCCTGATGCGTTAAGTTACCTAGGCAACGGGGTAATGACAATAATTTCTCCGTATCTCTGGGATATGTCTGTTTTCATCATATGGGGTTTACGTGCTATTTGATAGCCCCTTTCGTGTCGCAAATACCCTTTTCACAATTGGCAGGAAAGATTAAGTTTCAATTATATGGAAATAAACTGAAAAATGCCTACATTATAGTGATCAGTTATACACGGCTGCCAATTTGCAAGTGTCACTCACATTTTACAGGGGTGTTGTATTACGGACATTTTATGATGTACCCTATTCAACATCTCTTCAAAGATGCTCTTAACACTCAGTTTTTAGCTCGTAACGATTAGTGGCAATGTGGATTTTCCCACTTATTAATTCTCTGAGGGTTTCTTTGCACAAATCAGCATTTACAATGACCGTCCAGCCGTCGGCAATTACACAAAATTGGTTTCGTTTTACGTTAAAACATTCTATCCGATAATCTGAACGAAAGACATCGATTGAAAATGAACAAAGTGTGAATAAGGGATGGCCGATGCCTCTATCTTGATCCAAACTTTAATCGTGATCGTTTTCCCCGGAGGAGTCTGTCTCGTCATCCAATTCGCTGAACCTCATGATCAATGTCTAGAATAAACTCTACAAGATGCCACATACCAAGCTAACAAAAAGTGTGTGCAACCTAAGGCTTATACCAAGCGATGGTTTAGGTATCGCGCATACACAAGAACTTAAATTGTTGGTCAAGTTCCACAATGAGCCCTCTCTTGAGGGGAAACACATCTAAAACCTCTGTAATGTCTACAAGAAGACCAACAATGCCAATCCATGTGGCATTGTGACTTAATCTATACAAGGAAAAGGTGACTCGACCGTGCATCTTTACCTGGTCTCCATAAGACTTAGTAAAGGTGGGTGTGTTAATATTGCATCATGGAAAACAGTGTAATGGGTGTTTGTTGCACTTACCTTCAGTGACGTACTTGTATGTAATACAGCCAAAAAACTATGTCTTCCGCTTGCAAAAGAATAACACAAAACCGCACCCGCAGTGAAACTTCCAAAGCCAGCGATTTCTTCCACTTGGCTGGGAAGGCAGTTGGTGAACACCGATTTACGGCTCGACTGCTTTTCAAAGTGGCACAACACTGGAGAATGAGTTCGTCCGTGCGCAAAGAGGTTTGCCTCCCAGTCTGAGCTGAAGCAATGCACGCAGAGGCCCTTATGAGACGTTCGGCTTTGGCGAGGCTCGGCGACAACTGGGGGCGGGCGCGCGCGACGCGCGGCAAGGACGTCACCTGGCGGTGGTGCGAACAATCCGTCCGGCTACCGACGACTGCTTACTGTGCGGTCGGTCGGAGACGGATGCGCCACCTACGGGTACTGTTGCATTTTTTTGACGGGATTAGCTGAAATGAGCTTTCTATTCCGAATTTATGTCAAGTCATGGTTTTGCAATCGCCGTGAGAACAAATTTTGTTTGAACATATAAAGATAAAACGAACTAAATTTAAAAAAAATTAAATGGCGCATACGAATTTTTAAATTCGTGAAATTTACATCCGCACTGGTATAATTGAAATTGATGCATTATACAAACGTCAAAAATTTCTCTACCTGTATAATATTTCTTTCACATGATAGGGAAGACACAACTGTGATCGAGTGGCATAATCGTATGTGAATACTAGTGTAACCCGGATAGTGACGCCATTTTCCGATCGCTTTCACTATTGCAAATATTTTCCAAAATTAATCAAGGACCATTTATTACGAGGTTTTGAAATCACACGGAAATCACATAAGTTGATTCGCACGAACAGGAGGAATCATTCATTGGGTGGTTTTAGCACAGTTTTGGAGGGAACATAAGGGTAACATTAGGGGGCATGGGGCTTGGGTCACGCCCCTGTTTTAGGCCTGTGCCACATGTCGCCCTCATGGCCCACAAGCACCCCTTCCACCACCCCGCTCAAAACTTGTTGGGAAGCAAAATCTAGCTTTAAATGTTTAAAAAACAAAATGGAATGTGGCCCGGCCCTCGGAGTACCCCGCAAATTGGACGCTATGCAAGTACTGTCAGTGCCACAAACCAAAACGTTTGCGTAACAGAGCATGTCCGTGTTGTTGGGACATTTGCTGAGGTAGAACTAGCATAAAATGTTGTGACACAAAATAGACTTCTGGTGCACCTGTACTTTATTTCACACAACACGAAACAGTCGTCTACTCGAGCATTTCACTCACCCTCATCCTATACCAACGTAATCCTTTGACAACTCACACGGAGCATCTTACAATCAAAAAAACTTGTACGCCTAAAGGTGTACATGGTTACCATAACAACTGGGGAAATATTTGCCAGGGCTTTACCAATCAATTGACAGCTTGGAAGACATTCTTTTCAAGAGGGAATGAAAATAGAAACAAGACATTTCTGTCAAAAATGTTGACAAGAAGAGTCGACTTTCGTTATTAACGCAAACACGGGTATAGGATGTCTCGTTTTTTTCCCGCTAAAATTAGAAGTCATTTTCTCAATCGTGACCCGAAGTCGACTTTAACAGTTGGGTGATGAGGCCCTGGCCCTCGGGAATCTTGTTTTGAACAGTGTAAGGACCCTTGACTTTTATCTGTCAGAACGGGGGAAAACACTTGAACCCGGGGTACCACAAGAATCTGTTACGGACTTCATTATTATACCAATTCATTTCAGGCATCAACTGCCTTTCGTAAAGTTGATTTGACTTGCCTGATCTCAAGGGAGATCTCCGACAATGATTGAAGATTTGTATGCATGTATAAAATACAATGTACTTATCTCATATTTCACCACCTTGCTCGTTAATGGTAGCTCATCTGATGTATTGTTTTCTCAAGTGATGCTTAGGCCCTATATTTGAGCCTAATTTGTAAACGTTTTGGAGCGCTGTATTACGAACCACAATGGTGAGGAGGCATTTGAAACCCTGCACCAGCCAAAGCACCAACTGAAAGTGACAACCTCCAAAGTGACTATCAACTTACACAGGACACAGAAGATACCCAGTTAGATACAAAACAACATCAGCCCTGAAATGTACTTGCCCGCAAAATCTGGGGCTCGGCAACTCGTATGTCGGAGTGAAACAACCGGTCAGCACATATTTCCGCTATCAATTTTCGTACGCTTTTGTTGGAAATGGAATTGGAGGGATTAAGTTTGTCAGTATAGATCTGTTTACGCACTGACCTCAAAGCTACGGATTTGAACTGAAATGACACTGAACAATACAACGCCAAAAGTTCCGGCCGGGAGTACGAACACCAATTGACAAAAAAAATAAAGCGATTCTCCTAATTTTGTATTAATCACAAAATGTGTATGAAATTCGACACTTGAGAAAACCTAGATTCGACTGATCTTTGTTCTTTCAAACGATCTTCGACTCTTTTAGGTCCCGAAAACCAGGCTTCATGGGAAAACATTTTGCAAAATCAATTCTTCGAGCGAGAATTTTATAGGCTATTTACACGTCAAGTAAAAAGGAAAACTCTAGCAAAAATTGTTCAACACGTGGATCAGCAAGTGAATTCATTTAGAAGATTACAAAATTGCGTTTTGCGAGGCACGACACATGGTTACCAATTTAACAAATTTGCAAAAGCGATCGACTGCTGAAATCTGAGCAATTTTGCTGTGAAAATCTTCGCTTGATTGGTTTCAGAATGACGTTACTTGAAAACTGCGTCAAATGAATCAAATGTCAGCTTCAAATCAAATTGTAAGAAAAAAACAACCCTGTGAACCAAGTCAATCCAATTTGATGCGTTTGCGTAAGTTTGGCTGCTCCCAACTTAACCCTGAGAAAAGCTTTCGGTGTGTCGGATTCGCATTGCGTCACGCCGTCTTCCACCGCGTCGTGAGTACACACAAACGCAGGAAATGCTAAAGATCGGAGCGAAATGTCAGCGCTCTCTCGCGTCGGACAACAAACCAGATCGATGCCCGTGCTGGCCTTTATGGCACCCTGTACCTCCTCACGACAGCACGGAAACAAAACCAGTCACATCGTGTTTTGACGGCATGTTGGTCTGGTTTCTGGGAACAAAGTCATTAATGTTGGCATTTTTATAAGTTTTTTTGTAATCGACAGCATTTTTTGAGGCAGTTTAACTTTGGAAAACGTGTAGCATTCGCCTTTGCACAAAAGTTGACTTGGAAAATGTTTTGACGACTCTGATCGGTTGGTTTTAGTCAAAACAAACATCTTAATCCCGCTAGGGCTTAAAACAACTTTTGAAGCCTGCCATATTTGGATCGTTTGATTGGGCCACAAGCAGATTAAAAAAGTTCAAGTTGGACGCAGATAATCTCTCTGCGTAAAACAAGCAAATGTATCTGTTCCCGAAAGAATGACACTGAATGTTTGTTCAAGAAACAGGGAAAGATGAAATTTCAGCCAGGGTGACATTTAATCACGTCCCTGTTCCTCTTCGGGCGCTTCGTCTCTTAATTGCTTCTAACCCCGTCGACATCGCGTTATAATAGTCAGCCTCTCCGCTAATAAAATGAATCCATTGGAAACCGTTCTCGGGAGAGACATCAACTAAAATCCAATTTCAAGGATGCAGAACCTAATAGCATTGGTGCTGTTGCCCGCTGAATAAGTAATAAGACCGTTGTTTCCTTGCACTATGGAAGCACCTAGCTAACAACGGAACGGGCATCGTTCGTTTCTCAAATGGAGCGTGGTTGGATGAAATGATGATCTTCTAGCTTAATGCTATATGTTCATGTACATGTACTACACAGGGAGAAATCCTCTGGGAGCTTTAAAAAAACAAATTCATTATAATAAATTGCTGCCAACAAAAGTCCTCCTCCGAGTTTCATGACGTTTAATCGTATTTATGATTGATTCAAATTGCCTTTTTAAAATCGGAACAAAGGTTCTCTTTATATCTAAATTTAATACCCAGGGAATAAGATAATTGACTCAGTGGCAGTGAAATTGTTTCGGAACGAACAATAAAATACGACAAGAGTATAATGACAAAAGTTAACGCCGTTGGCAATTCGATGAAAAAGACGTCTGTACACCCCCCCCCCCCCCCCATGTAATTTATATTTATCCAACAGAACCATTTCTGGCTTTGCCTCACTAAACGCCGTCTGATCGGCACATGCACTTCATGGTATTATTTCTAATCACAAAAAGTAACGACTATTTTAAAGCAATCTGCATTTGCAAAAAGGGACATTTAAGAGGCAGAAATTCGTTATTTTAACAATGGCTTAATTCATTCATGTACCAGAAATGTAAGAATTCATTCTCTCGGGCCGTTGCAGCAACTGTCCAGCATACCTTACAGTTATATCTTTAATTTGCTTTTCCAACCACGTTTCTGCTCCGTATTTAGCGAAGTTGAATTTGTAGCCCAAACAGGGACAGTTTTCGTGATATTTTGATCCTTTATTGACATGAAGGAAAGATTCCCGAACAAAAGCGCAGGTGCATCCGGTCACCACCCTGCAAATTAAGAAGGATGACAACCACCAACCTGAAAACAGTTCTCCAAATCTTTCTCTCTCTCAGAATCTCAGCTGCATATCGCCGCTAGGCATCATCATCCAGTTTGACTTCACGCTGAATTAATTGGGAAGACACACTCGCTAATGGGTTTCTATGATCTATAAGGAGGTCTTGAAAAGCTGGACCAAAGTTACAGATGACAGTATGTCATTCAGTGGGAAAGGGGTGGATGATACCGTCTCTCTGGGACTAGCAAAATGAGAAGAAATGGGGGGTATAAAAGGTACCACATACGACCCCCTTTTCTGTCCCCTAAGGTTTGTTTCAGGGAAGTTGGGCAAAAACATTTTAGAACTGACCGACTATTCGTGGGGATTACTTTACTGAGTGGGGACAAACTTTTGAAATCAAAAGCGATAAATTCGATAAATATATAGATACATTAAGTGTATCGCTAATGGCATTTTGCTTGACTTAGATGCACCTGTAGTGAAAGTTTTTAGCTTTGCAAGACTTAAAATTGCGTGTGAATTCCATCACACGCGTAACATTAAAATGCCTCTTAATTACATTTATTTTTCAATCTTCATTTTTCGATTTGTTATTTCTACAGTTTCTAGAGAAGCCTTGAAGTTCTGGGGGGGGGTTCAATCGCAGACATGCGGTTCTTTTGATAGTTGAGGTTATAGAAATC